GCTGCGGCGGGCACGTAGACACCCGTTACGGCCCCTGGGCTCCCTCCGCTGAGCGGAGCTGGCCCTGGCCCAGGGAATAAGTGGACCGTAACAAATTCGCCGAGGCCTCCTCCACGGAGAGCTGAGCCCCCGGAGCCGCTCCAGTGGAGCCGAGCACGCGGCGGTGGGTGAAGCCTTCGCCCTCCCGCGGGACGCCAGGGCTCGCAAACAGCTTCCGGTTTAATTACAGCACAAGAGACAACAGATGGATGCCCCATGCAGACAGGGAAGAGCACAAGGTAACAGGGAGACAATTATGGTCAGCTTAATAAGCTGCGGTGGCAGTACAACAGCTGCCTGCCATTGTCACTCACTGTCACTCCAGTTGCTAGGAAAGAATTTTTTCGATTTCATCAAGAAATGTTCTCTGTCACTCAGGGGGAGGAAACTCAGATATTTCCCTCCGTCTCATATCTCACATCTCTGTAAGAAGTATCCCGCTGAGGCCACGGTTTCACCGCACGTTGCTGTCAGCCGCGGCACTTCTGGAGGTACCTCCCTGCAGCCTGCTTACCTCCAGCCTTGCCCTGAGACACGACGTTGGTCTCTGCCCCCTCCAGCCCCGTTCATGCACGGTCACGCTGGGAACCGGATGGAGGAGCTACAAACAGCCACGGCAGCGGGTTGGCAGGGACAGAGCACCGCGCATCGCGGCCCCGTACGGGAACGAGCAGCTGGAGGGGGTATTGCTGCTGAGGCTCCCCTTCATGGTTGAAGTAACCATCACATTTTTAACTGGCATTTAATGCAAAACTGCTCCCATCTAAGCTTTTCTTGACTAGCTCTTTGCTGTGTATCCCCATGTCTACTTCCAGAGCCCATCTCTCTCCAGCAAGCCCGGACAGACGGAGGAGGCTGAGGAGGCGGTTTCGGCGTGAGCCCAGGCTCCCACCAGAAGCACTCCCGTTTCTGCGGCCTCCTGCTCTTGCCCCGTCCCTGGTACTGGGTCCTCATGCTGGCCACGAGGGCACTCGGACCATCCCATCTCCCTCCCCGCAGCTACGCTCTTGCCTCAGACCGCATGAAGTGGCACGGCACCAGCGGCGTTACGCCCGCGCACCCGGGCTCTCGAGGACTTCCCGGGGCGCCCGTGAAGAGCCGCGAGGAGCCGCACGCCCGCGCAGGCCGTGCTCGCTCTCGGTACCACGTCCGTTTGACAGCAGGCCGGCACCTAGGATGGGAGAGGGCCCCGACAGCCAGCACCTTCCCCGGACCGCCCGCTGCGGGGCAGAGCCAGGAGGGCTCAGCCGGTCCTTCCTCACTCCTGGGGTTGTGTCGCCGCTGGTTTTCTTTGCGAGGGTATGGCCCTGAGCTGCCTAGGGCTCAGGCTGCTTGGCACTGCCTTCCGTTAGCTGCAGAACAGCGGCGTATTTGGGGCTGATGGGAGCGTGTGCACCGTACGCCTGCCAAATGCCACGGACCGTTACGGGCTAGCTCGTTGCGTCCTGCGCGTAGAAGCCATTTCTCGGTGCTTCGTGCAGCTTGTGGTTTCCTGAAAACAAGAATCAAGTTGCTCTTGCCTTACAGCTCACATCACTCTGGCTCTTTGGACGCTCTCATGAGGTCCAGTGTGAATTAATTGTTCTCGGAGCTTTCCTGGATATTTTGGTTTTGTTAGAACAGTAAACTGCCAGATTTATTTGCAAACTGCTATCTTTTTTTCCTCTGCGTGTGTGTGTGTGTGCGTAATAGTTCCATATGTATTCCACTGCCACAAAAAGTATAATTCAAACATTCACAGATCTTACGGTAGATGTTGCTAAATCATTGCAGCGCGGAATAATTCCTTCATGGAAAAATTAGACTGTCACATGCTTGTCTGCTTGGTTAGCTGGGGTTGTATTTCTTCCCTTTTCCTACCTGGTAATTGCCAACATGACAGGAACAAACAAGATATGGGACGAAGGGAAAGTATAATTTTAAAATAAAACCATCTGTGTTGAAAAGTGGTAACTATGTTACAGTCAATCTGCTGATACTCCTTTCCTTCTGTTCAACGGGATATAAGTCACCGGAAAAGGAAGAGGCCACAGTACATAGCAGTTGATGCTGTCTAGGCCACTGAACAAGGTGTCCTGGGGCCTCAAAGAACGTAGCGGTTGGAGATGATTTGTCGGCACATATTTTGCACCATATGTCCTAGCAGTTGAAGTACCTATAACACGGTGCCTAAGCAACGATATGCTGCCAGGATGAAGGTTGGTGCTCCTCAGTCTTTCAGCAACTCTGCTCAGGGGCATGATTACAGAAGCTGTAGAAATCTGTTGGTTTTTCTACACCTTGGGAATGCAGAGCTGGTTTAACTTGCCAGCCGGCCCAGCAAAAAGGTGAAAGACATCACAGGCAATTAGAGGTGAGTCAGCATAGAATTTGCAGAGTTCAGAAATACTTGAACCGATCCTGTCAGAGTGAGAGAATATTCCCAAAAGAAAAATGCAAATACAGAAAAAAGCAGCATAAAGATTTATTAGACAGAAAATATTGTTATTTCTCAAGGAACCAGTAATCTGTTTGAGACAGTTCCTGGCAAATCAGTGCTTCAGTGCCTTATTTACACTGATGAGACAGACAATGTGAAATGATGAGAAGTCTTGCATAACTAATTTGCTGCAATGTTTCAAAGCTGTTAGTGGGATGATAGCAACAGAAAATAGAGAGGATTTTTTGTGCCAAGCTTTTTTAAAAAGCACTTCATAAAGAGAAAAGATAAAGATTAATTAACTATTGACTGTGCTTTGATAATGGAGTAAAGCAGCTAGTTAGATAGACAACTGGCTTAAAAACGGCTTATGAGGGGAGGCTAGGACATGAGCATACCAGCAAGCATTTGATTTTAAGACTTTAATTATCTATAATGTCTTGTATTTCTAAATGACTAGGTTGGAATACGAAATATTAGTTAGCAAAATTTGCAGGTTAAGACAACAGTTGGAGATCTAATAAGCAGGAAGGGAGCTGGTCTGTGTGCAATACAGCTCTACTCTGAAAAGTGGCTGTGAAAATTACCTACTGAAATTTTTGGAAATGGTTATATTTAATGTACAAGCAAATGACAGTTTCATAACCACCTGCTCTGCAAACTGAATTGGAGATCCTTGAACGTCAGCAGTTTTTTCTGCTTTTCAAAGTGAATAAGGGCACCAGACTCTGACCCAAAGCCAATAAAGGAGAGATGTGCTTTAATGTTGATGACTAATGTGAAACAATAAATCAGGGAGAAATGCCAAGCTACAAATAGCACTGTCATGCAATACAATGCCAAGTATTTGGGAGTCCTATTCAGAAAATTTTTGAGCTCATCAGCATTATACGTGCCTGCAATAAAACTGGGAGAAATAAAGACGTTACTGGTGGTATGGAACGCAGAACTGTGCCATATGGCTGGTGGTAGGTGCATTTCGCTGAGATTACAGTGTGAAACAAATGCAGTAATTCCATAAATACTGTTGTGGGACTGGGTTAAACCTCATGAGCTCTGGTAGGTTTATATGCTGCTCTTCCATTTAAGGGAACTTTAAGACCCAGCAAACATATGTTTCAGATAGGGAAGGCTGCTCAGGAATTTTGACTGTTCTGGATAGAGTGGTTTTGTCTGGGTACTGTTTGAGGCCAAGAGTGACAAGGGCTGGGAGACAGAGAAGAAACTCACAGGCCATCTGGGAACAGATACAAGAAGATATATCAAAAATACAGCGTGAACAGTGTGGGAGAAGAGTTTGGGGTCTGCGTGTCTGGCTAGTCGGAACGGAGAGAGCTGAGCTTGTGGATCAGGGCACTGGCTGAAAGACCTCCAGGGGCGTAAGCAGGAAAAGCACCTCTGACTATCTGAGTCCTGTGTTTGGGAAAGCCAGACTACTCCCCTGGTACAAGGAGGTCTGTCTCTCCAGGGTATCACAGTTAGACTTTATAGTTCTTAAAGAGAAGGTTCTGATGCGTCTCACACTCTCGTTTTTCTTGCTTTCTCCAAACTGAGCATGCAATTTAGATCACTGTCAGCCTTCCCTTTACTGTTTCAAGCCTCCAAGTAGATAAAAATAGCTCATAAAGACTTTAATTTTATCTCCACCACCCATTTTTTAGTAATGCAGCAGGAGCACTCTGCCCTGCTGCCTTGTTGGCCCTAAGCTTCCCAAGCGTCTTTTGCATCTTTTTCAAAATTTCTTCTGCAAACAGCTCATCTGTCTGGAAAATGGTAAGTTATTTTTCACCTTTGCCCATCTCTCTGTTAAGGAGCTCATTAAAGTGTTCCCTCTGCCTTTCTGCAATTGAATTCTTTATAACCAAAAAACTCCCATTTTTGCTCTTCAGCAGGCTAACTCCTAGTTGCTATACTTTCCTTCACTGCTGCTTCTCTAAAATGCTCACACACTATTAGGACTTCTATTCTGCCCCATCTTCTCCAGTAAGCCACAAAAGAAAAACCTTTTGCTTTGTCCTATTAGCGTTTGTCACTTTTGGCTGTATGATAATGCTCAGCAAGAGACTGAGCTGGATTTTGAAAGCAAACAATCCATCCTGCTGCATGTAGATACTCGATTGCTTTTGTGTGATCTTCATCAAACCTACCCTGTGTTATTTATACCTTGTAGATATCAACATCCTCCATAACTCTCATACAACATTCAGCTAAAACCTCAAGCTCTTCCTAGCATTTCTGTGATGTTCCTATCTAGATTTGGGTTCCTCAAAGCCTCTGCGGTATTTCTATGGCTGTTCTTCATCTGGCTCTTCATCATGCAGCTATTTCCGTTATCGGCATTCTTACAAATCACAGTCATAGCTGCTTAGGCGCCTGGTGTTCTGGTTGTTTCTTTTGTCAGCCTGTTTCCTTAACAGCGTGCGATCTGGTTACGTGTCAGTTGTTCCCCTCGCAACATTAACTCCGAACCCAGTTTCTACCAAATTTGGCAAAAGCACAGAAATGAGCAAAGATGCTGTGCTCCTGCGAGTTTTGTAAAAATGGGTGATTTAATAGAGGAGAGAGGTGCCCCATTTGTGTCCTCCCAGAGAGAAAGGCATGACTGGCTCCAGCCCTTACCCATTGTGTCTGGCAACAACCACGGCCTGCCCAGGATGCTCACGGAGCTCAGCTGAGAGGCCAAAAGAGGTAGATAGGAGACAAGAGGGGAGCTGGAAACATTGCAATTAGCCAGAAGGAAATGGTAAATGCTTTGGCATATCACCAGGCTGGAGGGTAGCAGCATGGGAAACACAGAGGAGGGGATGGAGGGTATTGTGCTGGAGCGCTGAGATGTGGGGGACATCAGGGGATGTTGCTGAGGAAATGCTACAGGGGGACACATGGAGAAACTAGCGTTAGCATGTAGGTAGCACACAGGGCACTCTTCCATTGCAAACAGTTCTGCTGCTAATGAACCACTTCTATCTTGGATCAATATTGACTAACGTGTTGATCTGATTAATAGTGACCTGATCTCTGAGATCTGTACAGCCATATCTTTAAGTGCGGCGCAATTAACTGATCTCATTCCCTTGTAATTACATATAGGACAAGGACTCTTGCTCCCTGTGGTTGGTTTCTTTCCTTATTTAACCACTTTAGTGGTAGAATAAACATTACCACTTGAGTTATCTTGTCCACTTCTTATGGCAAACTTGCGAAAACTAGCATAGATCAATATAGTTTTTCATAAACTGTTCCTGTTATTTCATCACTGCCTTCTTCAGTGATTACTGACAAGGCAGATAGTGTGCTCTCCCCTTTTTATCCTGAAACAGCAAATTTATTCACTGAGGGCATCTAAGCCAGTCACTGCTAATAACCCAGGCTCATCATAATACATGCCCACACTGCATGCCTAGCAGGTTTCTTCTGCTATAAAACAATGGGCTTGCTCACTTTTAAGAGACAAACTTCCAGCATTTCCTTGCATGCCTGTGATACTCCTCTGGGTGTGATGTCACATTTCGGAGGTGGCCTGGATTATAGAAGATCAAAACATTCCGTGTTCCAAGTTTCCTGTCCTTTTTCTGTAAATGGTTTCCACACATGTTGGTACTTTCCAAAGGTGTATTTGAATTTCTTACCGATCATGGTTTTTATAGGAAAGGGATATCAGCCATATGCCCAGTCCCCAGTATAAAGGACAAGTGTATTGCTCCTTAACCTGGCCACTCTCCTTCAGCATGTCATGTGAAGGAATCTGCAGGCAAAACTAATGGAGGCTTAGCTCTGTGCCCATGGGAACAAACAAGCCCTTCTGCATGGTCATACAATAGCTAGAAAGGG